CCGCAGTTTGCCGACCACCTGCCAAGGAATTTAGTGGCTTCTGCTCAGGAGCCAAACACTCGCCCTGCCTTTTCCATTCAACCTCAGAGCAAGTTCCCACTGGGCTATGTCCGGTGGTAACATCCATGGGCAGTTGCCATCCCGGCACTATGACACCTGTGCACTCCCGCTGGCTGTGCAGACGCTCAGAAGAGCATCCCTCCCCGGGCGGCTCCAGGGCAGTTTTCCTGCCAAGGGGACCAGTAGTGACTGTACCAGAGTAGAAGACAGTGTCCTCCCATCATCTACTTTTTAAACTGCTGATGAGAAGCCAAATTTATTTCAACATAATTCTGTGAGGTTTCAAGCCTTCGGTTAAAAGCAAAACCTCTCGTGGCTCCTCAGAAGCGGGAAACGAATCCCTCACTTTAGACTCAACGTCCAAACATAAAAGAAATGTCTCTGGCGACAGCCCAGTGACTGCAGACCCTCCCGTTTCCGTGACTTTACCACAACCAAGAAAGGTGTTACAGGAAAAAAACTTACACTTGTGTGTTCATCGGAGGGAACCGATTTTTCAATACTATTTCTGATTGTAGAGGGCCCCTGGGAAGGCACATGGGCATTTCTTTAATAAATTGTCAGCTGAATCCAGGGCGGTAGGAAGAGCCATGTCCTGGATACGCATTTTGCCAAAAAGGCAGAAGTGTTCTCAGCTTGACCTTCATTTTGCCCAGGTGCCTGGGAGTGGGTTTTATTATGTAAATCCAGCCAAGCACCAGGAATGAAGAGCCCACCCAGAACTGACCTTACAAGAATGCAAATAAGCTCCTTTGTCTTGACCTTTGGTGAAACTTCTGGTATTTTGGGGTATAAAATAAACACGCTGTTTTGGTGTTGGGTCCCTGTCTCTCCATCAGAAGAGGACAGCAGTCCCACCCAGCCCCAGCTTTTTTCTTCCATCTTTGTGTTCTGTCTCTTTCTTTCATATTCTCAATCCCCAGCCACCCCTACTCAAAGAACCAGACCACTCTCTAGCCGCGCTGGACGCGGAAAAGAGAGACCCCTCCATACCTGACTTCATTTCAGGGAGTATTAAGGGCATGGAAATAAACTGTTTATACAAAGGCCCAATGTCAAAAGGAGTCTTACCACAGGAAATAAGGCAAATTTCTGAAGGAAGTCCTGGGATTCATATTGATCAAAGTCACCAAAATCAGCTATACAAAATGACAAATATTCACATGTCAGTTATGTTTCATTTGCATAGCAACGCATGCTGAACTATACCTGATATGTCGTATGTAGATGGTGTGCTTATGATTCAGAAGTCAAATTTGCATTATAGCTATAAAGTGTATATTTTAAAAATATCGTTCTTAAAGCATTAGTGAGGTGGACTCATGTTTCTTGACTTGGAAAATGCCTATTAATAAAGTGAAAAATAAATTACGAACTGTATGTAATGTGATCTCATCTTTATAATTAAAAATCAAAACTGCCCTATAATCATGTGGGCTTACTTATGCACAGAAAAATGTCAGAAAGAAACCAAAGTGTTCACAGTAGTGATTATACCTCTAGAGAATGGAATCAGATCATCTGAATATGTTACAGCAAGATGTATTGGTTTAGAAAGTTTTAGCTGTTAAAAATAAATCGATAGTTTGGCAAAAAGTTTATGAAAAACCAGCTCTTAAAGCCAAAGATGACATGTAGGAAGAGTCAAAGGACTTTGAAAAGGAATGTGGTTTCATGTGTCAGGCAATTGTTTGTCTAGAAATGATAAAGGTCTCCACACCTGCTAATATCTGAAGAATTTTATTAATAATTCTTCTGACTACATTTCAATTCCCAAGATTAAATGCCAGTTATCATATGAAACAATCAGAAGTCTTCCCAAGGTATATATATCCGTGTAAATACATATCGATTGGGCATAGGAAAAATGACAGAATTAAACAACCCAAAAAACTACCCGTGAAAGGCAAACTTGATCTGTTATGACTGACGATGCTCTGTAATCCAGGAACACTGTTTAGGAAACCAAACAAGTGACGAATGCCTAAAGTAGAAGTGATCATAACCTCATCAACCTCACTGTTGGCTGATCTTTCTTCCTAAAATATTAGCTATCAGCAAAGCAAGAGAAATACATAGCAGGCAAATGCTCTGTGTATTTTTTTCCCCTGTTTCTCTGTTGACATATGAGAACATGTTTATCCTTCCAGAAGTCTCCTTTCATTAGAGAATCCAAATTCATTCTTCCCACAAGGAAGCCCCTTCGGTGACAGAGTAACATTTCACCAACATATTTACACTACTATAGAAAGTCTGTTACTTTAAGGATTCCTTGCTGTTTTCGTTGTAACAGTTTTAATCTGATAGGTCAGGTACAGTACCAGGTGTCATCATTTACCTTGAACAGCCAAGCCTGCTAGTTGAATTGCTTGTTCTAATGTACATGGAATGTTTCCTTCCAAGATATCTTTCTTCAGCTGCAGATAATACTGATACCTACAAAAAAATGTCAATTTTATTTTATTTATTTATTTTTTTAGAGGGGAGAATGATGATTTTTCTTATTTTTATTTTGTTTAATATATTTTATTGATTTTTTACAGAGAGGAAGGGAGAGAGATAGAGAGTTAGAAACATCGATGAGAGAGAAACATTGATCAGCTGCCTCCTGCACACCCCCTACTGGGGATGTGCCCACAACCAAGGTACATGCCCTTGAACGGAATCGAACCTGGGACCCTTGAGTCCGCAGGCCAACGCTCTATCCACTGAGCCAAACCAGTTAGGGCAAAAATGTCAATTTTAAAAAGTTAACACCAACATTAGCTCCAATTGAGACAATGCATTTTACCATAATTTATTAGAGAAGCATAAACTAGTCAACTGAAACCTTAAGCCGGATGGTTTCAAAGAAAGACAAGAACATCCTTGACCGTACCTACACCCATACCTACACACACACACACACACACACACACACACACACACACACACACAATGTAATCAATTTGTTGAGTTACTTCTCCTTAACTGCAGTTATTTCAAAGCTATAACCATGTAGAAGACAACTGGTCATCTATCTTATGCCCCATAAGACAGTCCCTACATATTGTCCTTGTTAGTTGGAGAGAGACGCCATAGGCAATCTTTACTTTAAAAACTCTGCCTAGTAACTTGGTAACATAAGACTTTGCTTACTCTGGTGGAAGTTCCCTAGACCTGGAAGATAAACCCAGAAGAAAACAATTCCTGATATTCCAGACCAGGTGTATATTGAAATTTCTTTGGATGAAATCCCTAAAAGCATAGCTGCTAAATGCTTGCTTAATATTCTTGTAAAATGAGTTTACTTACTATTACACTTTCAATATTCGGGGCACTGGTTACCAGCGCAAGCTTTAGTCACGCAGACCTAGGTTGCATTGCAGCTCTCCAATCAAGCATTCTGCAGGAATCTGAGCAAGTCGTAATCTATGGGTTAAACTGTCACTGGCAAAATGGGAATGCTATCATCCCTTCACAAGGTGGAACGTATTCAAGGAATATAATTTAAAGCTTTTAGCACAATACTAGAACACAGCTGGCACTCAAGAAACCGTAACAAGCCGAGACCGGTTTGGCTCAGTGGATAGAGCGTTGGCCTGCGGACTGAAGGGTCCCAGGTTCGATTCCGGTCAAGGGCATGTACCTGGGTTGCGGGCACATCCCCAGTGGGAGGTGTGCAGGAGGCAGCTGGTCGATGTTTCTCTCTCATCGATGTTTCTGGCTCTCTATCTCTCTCCCTTCCTCTCTGTAAAAAATCAATAAAATATATTTAAAAAAAAAAAAAAGAAACCGTAACTATTATGATTGTTATCAGCTATCATCTACTTTAAGCCAGTCACCAATAGTTCATGTTATCACTCCTCCATTTTGGTAAAGCCCTACAGTGCAGATTTATTCTGCCTCCCGTTTATTTACCCACTTTAACCGGGGATTACTAGTCCCTACTCTGCATCAAGCACTGTTCTAGATGCTGGGGACATGATGTGAAATGAAGATCCACCAACTCTCTGCCAATACGGTCCAGAGAAATAATGCCTTGATAAAATGTAGCCTGCAAACCTGAATTCAGAAATGTTTAAACCAAGGAATGAAAAAGAATGCACACGTTAATTCTAAAGCAAGCATTCCATAAACTTGCCCAAAAGCCAAATATGCTGATTAAACAAAAATATCACCTAAAGCCTTATCAACTTGTCAACTTTCTAATATAAAGTATTTTTACACAAAAATATTACATTAATACCTCATGATCTCACTCACTTATGGATAATAAAGAACATTATAAACTGATGAACAAAAATTGATACAGAGACAGAAAAGCATCAAACAGACTGTCAAACTACAGCGGGAACACTGGGAGGGTTGGAGGGGGGAGTAAGAGATCAACCAAAGGACTTGTATGCATGCATAGAAGCATAACCAATGGATGCAAGACACGGGGGGGGGGGGGGGAGGCTGGGGAAAGGTCAATGGGGGGAAAAAGGAGACATGTACTACTACTTATAATACCTTAAACAATAAAATAAAATTTTAAAAGAAAACAAATATACATACATATATATATATATATATATATATATATGTATATATATATTACATTAAATAATTATAATAGATTAGGTGCCTCATTTTGCACAACAGAAATTTTAAATAATGTGCAGCAAGGTAGTTTTCACCTGTTTTTCTTAGGTTAGTAATAGAAGGCTAATGTACAGACATTTTTATTTTTATATATTTAAGTTTTATTATAGAAATTTTGAAAGATATACAGACAATAAGTACAAAAACTCCCATAGCCTTAGCATGCAGCCTCACCAATCACCAACTTTATGCCTGCCATGTCTCCTCTATGCTCTCCCCTCCCTGACCCCAAGTGTTTTACAGCAAATCCCAGATGTAGCATAGCAACTACAAATACTTCAGTATATATCCCTAAAGGTCAGCTTACACACACACACACACACACACACACACACACACACACACACACTTTTAACATATCCAACAAAATAAATGACTAAAATGCCTTAACACTATCCAATACCCAGTCATGTACAATTTTTGTGACTGCGTCGACAGTCTTTTTACAGTTGCTGTTTTTTAAATCAGGATCCCAACAAAGTCCACAAATTACATTTGATTATTTCTAAATTTCTCTTAATTTTAGAAAAAAAATGCCTCCTCTTTATTTTCATGTTACTTATAGACAAAATGATGTGGTTTATCATGTAGAATTTTCCACATTCTCGGTTTGCCTGATTGTACTCTCATGGGGACATGTGATGTGTTCATCCCTTCTCCTGTGAACTAACTGCTAGATGGAGAGAGCAGTGTTGTCTAACTGCACTTTCTGCGGGGGTGACAATGGTATGTATCTGTGCTGTCGGAGGGCAGCCATTAGCCACACTTACAATGTGGCGAGTGTGGCTGAGGAATGGGAAAGGCCCCTTAGAGCAGCAGGCCTTGCTGAGAGGAGAGCCCGGTTTACACTTCTGCTCCCTGGAAGGTGAATGCAACAGCGAGGTGGTCTCCAGGATCCTTTGGCTCTGAGGTTACGTAGTGAAAGGAAAGAACACGAACACGCTGAGGACGGTGGAACCGTAAGAGACAGAGCATGCGTCCTTGAAGACTTGGAGCTGTCCTAGGAGCCCTGCAGGGCTGACCTCCGGACTTCATTCACGGGAGAAGTCAAAGGTATTAAGGGCTTTTGTTATATATAGCCATACCTAATCCTTACTGATGCAACTTATCAGGTTCTGCTACACCCAATTAATGGGTAATCATACTGGTTGAATCTACAGGGCCTGTTCTCTCTCAGCCCTCCCCACAGCGAATGAAATGCCTTTGTTCAGGTCCACATTCTACACTAAAGCCCAGATTATGGCATGTACATTACTAACTGGTCTCCTGCCTACAGTCTTGCCACCTCTAATCTACCTTGTATGATAGGTGACCTTTGTAATATACAAATTTCATCATTCCATTCTGTTTTAAAAAAATGTCTGTCCTCATTGTACCATGATTTTATGACTAAAACACTCCTCTTTTTTAAACATGGGGGAGGGGGAGGGGCACATATTAGCCAACATTTTCAGACCTTCAACACCTCCCGCCTCTCCCTCTCCCCCTCCACATCACTACCCCACACTGCCACTGGAGTCAAAGAATTGTGAGAACTCTGCTGCACACTTTCTTGAAGAAGGAACAGATTCTGTGACTAATTTCAATTTTTTTCCCTCCCTCCTTTCGTTGTTAGAAAGGTCAGAAACAAATCAATACACACACTAAAGATGACATCACTACGAGAAGAGTTCACAGCCAGGGTAGAAGTGTTTTCCCCTTAATCACTCCTTTGTGCCCAGTGAAGCCGTAACTCATGCAAACGCAGTAAGGCATTCTGACACACCACATACCAGAACCTCCACGTGACACTGTGGCTGAAAATGTGGGGCGGGAGGGCAAAGGTCAGCCTGATCTCCTGACTGCAACCTTCCTTTCACTTTTCCAATCACACGCGGTCATTTCCTGAAAGCAGAGCATGGACTTTCTCACCTGGTGACCTCCTGCTGCAGCTGGGACACGGAAGGCACATAGAACACCACTCCGAAGGAGACGGTGGGCTCCAAGGCGTACTTGTCCAGCTGCTTCTTCAGAGGCTTTTCCAAATCCACCCACCGGCGCTGGTTCTGCTTGTTGTAGTACCAGAGGCTGAAGTACGTGATCTGGAAAGAGGGAAGGTCACTGAAGGAGGCAGAAATGTACAGAAGGGTCTCTCTACTTCAATTGCTCTAATCCATGACCTGGGACCACGTGACAGCCATCTCCTATTGTTTCACTTCTCAGAAAGGGACAATAGCAAAACCTGAAGGGGGGAAAAAAAAGAGTTAAGACCTATCTACAGCTAGGTACTGTATTCAAGGAAAAAAAGGTGAGAAGTCAATTACTCTTGCAGACTATTTCTTCAACCTTGCACCAAAAAAATGCCTTCATGGCCTAGACAGCAGAATGTCGTGGGTGCTCTGAAATTTTACATAGTTTTTAACAAAAACCATATGCTAAAAAATATTGAAATACTAAGTGTATTATAATTAATGTTTTATAATAAACATAACTGGGGGTCTACCTAGTAGAATTCTTTTTTTTAAAATTGATTTCAGAGAGAGGAAGGGAAAGGAAGAGAGAGGTAGAAACATCGATACCCGGGCTTATGCTCTGACTGGGAATCAAACTGACAACCTGTAGTGCATGGGATGATGCTCAACCAACTAAGCCACACACCGGCTAGGCTACCTAGTAGAATTCTGAAGAGACAATGCTCATCCAACCTTTCGCTACTCTCAAATTTGGCTTCTATAAATAAACTAGAGGCCTGGTGCACGAATTTGTGCACGGGTGGGGTCCCTCGCCCTGGCCAACGATGGCGGCCTATGGTGGGGGAGACGGCCAGCAGGGGGGAGGGACCACAGGAGGTTGGCTGTGGGAGTGCACTGACCACCAGGGGGCAGCTCCTGAATTGAGCATCTGCCCCCTGGTGGTCAGTGCGCATCATAGCAACTGGTCGACCAGTCGTTCCGGTCGTTTGGTCATAACGGTCGCTTAGGCTTTTAAATATATAGATAAGTCTGTGTAAGTATTCTAAATTCTAGTAATACTAGTGCAATTGCATAACTGCAACTCCTCTTTGCCTCCAAAAGTTCATTAGATACAAACTTAAAGCAACTGTAGGCCATGGAGATACATTACCTCTCTCTTTTCTCTCTCTCTCTCTCTCTCTCTCTCTCTCTCTCTCTCTCACACACACACACACACACACACACACAAAGTTATACCTAAAGCAGTAAAATAACTTGTTATTTTAAGTTATTTAAGTTACCCACAGGTTTGTTTTTTTAAAATGCCCAGACATTTAGATCTCACTTGCTGTGTAACGAAACTGTTCAGGTAAATCAATACTAGCCCTGGGCATGGTCAACCTGAAAGGGCATTAATACACTTAAGGATTGAAAGGACAGCCTCGGGCCACTGCTAATATTTACCTCTTCCCAATCAATTTACGGTCAAGGTCATTACAAAACTCGCTGCTTTGTCCTAGGCTCTACAGAAACACTACCAAATAGAACCTTCTATGATGATGAAAATATTCACTTACCTGCACTCTCCAATACAGCAGCCACTAGCCACATGTGGCTATTGAGCACTGGGAATGTGGCTAGTGCAGCTGAGGAACTGAATTTTTTAATGCTATTTAATCTTTTATGCAAAAGATACTTTTTTTAAAAAATATATTTTATTGATTTTTTTACAGAGAGGAAGGGAGAGGGATAGAGAGTTAGAAACATCGATGAGAGAGAAACATCGATCAGCCGCCTCCTGCACACCCCCTATTGGGGATGTGCCCGCAACCAAGGTACATGCCCTTAACCGGAATCGAACCTGGGACCCTTAAGTCCGCAGGCCGACGCTCTATCCACTGAGCCAAGCCGGTTAGGGCCAAAAGATACTTTAATAAGTTTTATTTTTCAAGAGCACTTAAGAAAACCCATATCTAACATCATACACAATAGTGAAAAACTAAAATCTTTCCCCCCAGGATCAGGAACAAGACAAGTATGCTCATGTTCACCACTGCTATTCAACTGTACTGGAAATTCTCTCCAGGTAAGAAAATGAAATAAAGGCATCCAAACTGGAAAGAAGTAAAACTATCTCTATACACTGGAGACATGATCCTTTATTATTAAAAATATATATATCACCCTGGCCTGTGTGGCTCAGATGGTAGTAGCTAGTTCAATTCCTGGTTAGGGCAGGTGTCTGGATTGGAGGTTCAATGCAGGAGACAGCTGATTGATGTTTCCCTCTCTCCATCTGCCTTCTCTCTCTAAAAAAAAAAAAAATCAAGAAAAACATTTTTTTTTAAATCCCAAAGATGCCCTCACCAAAACAAAACAAAACTACTAGAGCTAATAAATTCAGCAAAATCACAGGGTTTAAGATCTCCAAGCAAAGATCAGTATAGATTCTATACACCAGGGATGAAAAATTCAAGAAGAAAATGAAAAAAGTATAAACATCTAGAAATAAATTTAACCATGGAGGTGAAAAGGCTTCTGTACTGAACAATACAAAACAATGCTGAAAGAAATTAAATTGAAAGACATACCATGTAAATGGATTGAACACTTAAGTTTGCTAAGATGGCAAAACTCCCCAAAATGATCTACAGATTCAAATGCAATCCCTATCAAAATGCCAACAACTATTTTCACAGAAATGGAAGAGCCAATTCTCAAATGCATATGGAATAGCCAAAACAATATTTAAAAAAGAACAAAGTTGGAGGACTCACATTTTCTGATTTTAAAACTTACTACAAAGCTACCTTAATCAGAACAGTGAGGTATTGGTATAAGAATGGAGTCCAGAAATGAAGCCACACATCTATGGTCAACTGATTTTAGACAAGAGTGCCAAGACCATTCAGTGGAGAAAGAACAGTCTCTTCAACAATAGTCAACAACTGAAGTTAGGTCCCTACACTTCTCACCATGTATTAAAAGTAACTTAAACTGGATCAACAACCTAAATATAAGAACTATAAACTCTTTAGCAGAAAACATAGAGGTAAATTTTCATAACTTTAAAATAGATCCTTAGATAATGACACAGAAAGCTTGAGCAACAAAGAAAACAACAGAATACATTTCACTTCATCAAAATTAAAAACTATGTGCATCAAAGGTCCAAATCAAGAAAGTAAAAAAAAAGCGCAAACTATATAGAATGGGAGAAGATATCCGCAAATCACATATCTAATATTTAGAATATATAAAGAACTCTTGCACAACAAAAAGACAACTCAATTTTAAAAAGGGCAAAGGACTTGAAGAGATATTTACCCAAAGAACATATACAAATGGCCAAGTGCACATGAAACAAGCTTCATGTCATTAGTCACTAGGCAAATATAACTCAGAACCACAATGAGATATTGGATGTGAAGAACCTGAAATCTTCTTTTTTTAATATATTTTTTATTGATTGTTTTACAGAGAGGAAGGGAGAGGGACAGAGAGTTAGAAACATCGATGAGAGAGAAACATCGATCAGCTGCCTCCTGCACACCCCCGATTGGGGATGTGCCCAAAACCAAGTACATGCCCCTGACCGGAATCAAACCTGGGACCCTTCAGTCCGCAGGCTGACGCTCTATCCACTGAGCCAAACCGGTTAGGAAGAACCTGAAATCTTTATACATTACCAGTGGGAATGTAAAATGGTTCAGCCACAATGGAAAATAGTTTGGTGGTTCCTCAAAGGTTAAACATATTAATCATCATATGAACCAGCAGTTCCACTTAGATACATAACCAAAAGAACTGAAAACAGATACTCAAATACATGTACAAACATGCTCATAGAAGGGCTATTTGCAATAGCCAGAAGATGGAAACAACTTAAATGTCCATCAGTAGAAGAAAGGATCCACAGATTTTGGAATATACAGACAATGGGACATTATTCAGCCATGAAAAAGCAGCACTGATACATCCTACAGTGTGGATGATTTGCAAAAACATTATACTAAGAGGAAGAAGCCAGATACAAAAGGTCACATATTGTATGATTCCATTGAAACAAAATATTCAGAATAGATAAATCCTGAGCAACAGAAACAGAAAGTAGACTGATGGCTTGGAGAGTGGGTTGGAAGAAAGGAGAGCAACTGATTAACGCGTGCAGGGTTTCCATTCAGGGTAACGAAATGTTTTGAAACTAGAGAGAGTAGGTATTGTGAATGTACTAAATCACTACATGGTTTATTTTTAAATCGTTAATTTTTTATGTGAATTTCATCTCGAAAAGGATTTTTTTAAAGAACACACACACAAAAAAACCCCACTAATGACTAAAATTAAGTACAGACTTTTTTAAATTTATAAATACAGTGGGGTCTTGACTTACGAGTTTAATTCGTTCCGTGACGGAGCTCGTAACTCAAATTACTCATATGTCAAATCAATTGTGAACGAGTGAGACACGTGATGCTGGGCTGATGTTGTGGCGTTCACTGTGACGTTCGCTGCGCCAACTAGCGGTGGGGTATCTGAAGCTGGCTCGTAAGCCGAATTTTAGCTCACAACTCAAAGCAAAAAATCAGCCAAGAGACGGCTCGTATCTCGAAAAACTCGTTAGTCAAGGCCCCACTGTAGGTCAAATTCAGAGTGTTTGAAACAGTCTAAGGAAAAAAAATGAGCCAGAAATAGATGAGGCTAGCCATGAGTTAATTGGATTTTTTGCTTCCTCATATCTATCCTTTGGTCTTCCTCTATTTAAAGTTAAGATATAGCAGGAACTTTTTTTTTTCCATACAGAAACCTTAGTGCAGACAGGCCCCCATGTGTCCTAAATTTTGACTCTTACCAATCATTACTTGGTCTAGGATAGTTGCCCAGAATCATGTGTCTTCTCTTTCTTGAATCCGAATATTCTGGGCTATGCATGTCCTGCAGTGTTTATGGGCTTGGTTTAACTGTAATTAAAATGTTCCCAGGAACCAGCCTTTAATTATTGGCTCTCAGGTGATGCCTCCCATCACTCCTTCTTTATTCCCCAGGACCTTTCCTAGTAAGAATCCACATGGCTTCCCTTGCCCCACAGCTCTGTCTGCTCTCACCGATGACCAAAGCAAGCTGACTAGGCCTGTGGGAAAACTCCCTCC